GACACCTGGTGCTTAGTGAGGAAAGAGGATATGATAATGGACACCTGGTGCTTAGTGAGGAAAGAGGATATGATAATGGACACCTGGTGCTTAGCGAGGAAAGAGGATATGATAATGGACACCTGGTGCTTAGCGAGAAAGAGGGTATGATAATGGACACCTGGTGCTTAGCGAGGAAAGAGGATATGATAATGGACACCTGGTGCTTAGCGAGAAAAGAGGATATGATAATGGATACCTGGTGCTTAGCGAGGAAAGAGGGTATGATAATGGACACCTGTTGCTTAGCTAGGAAAGAGGATATGATAATGGACACCTGGTGCTTAGCGAGAAAAGAGGATATGATAATGGATACCTGGTGCTTAGCGAGGAAAGAGGATATGATAGTGGACACCTGGTGCTTAGCGAGGAAAGAGGATATGATAATGGACACTTGGTGCTTAGCGAGAAAATAGGACATGATAATGGACACCTGGTGCTTAGCGAGAAACGAGGATATGATAATGGACACCTGGTGGTTAGCGAAAAAAGAGGATATTATAATGGACACTTGGTGCTTAGCTAGAAAAGAGGATATCATAATGGACATCTGGTGTTTAGCGAGAAAAAAGAACATTATAGTTAGCTTTGGTGTTTAGCAGGAAGACGGGGAGGGGGGGTCATATTGATGTCTTTTATTTAGCAAAAAGGGAGGACATCGTAATGAAGGTCTCTTAGTTAGCAACAAAAGAGGAAACCATAATCAACGTCTGGTATTTAGCAAGAAGAAAGGACAGCATAAATAGCATAAAACATATTACATTCACCACCACAAACTATGTTTGGTTAATATTATCGAAGATTATTGCAAAGAAGTGGTATCACTTGAAACATATCTATAACAGTGAAAATAAACTGGTGAACAAAAAACACACAATAAATTTTGCATAACTTACCAGTTGAATTAAGTTACAGGTGTTTATAAAATGAATATCTCTTTAATACAAATAACAGCTTTGGGTGTTGCTAGGATATCGTATTACTTGAAAAATGGTAGCAAAAGGTGTGTACATAAAAACAACAACACGAAAATATAAGTTTATTTTATTTTATTGATTACAAATTAAAAGATAATTGTTTTAAAAAAAACTTTTTTCATCACATACAGGAAACATAAAAACAATATTTCGTGATACACGTTATATTCCTCATAACCACTTGAGGTACCATTAGGTACATGCTATCTTCCTCATTAAAACCTGAGGTACCATTAGGTACATGCTATATTCCTCACCATCACTTGAGATACCACTAGATACACGTTATATTCCTCATAACCACTTGAGATACCATTAGGTACATGCCATATTCCTCATTAAAACCTGAGGTACCATTAAGTACATGCTATATTCCTCATAACCACTTGAGGTACCACTAGATACACGTTATATTCCTCATCCCCACCTGAGATACCATTAAGTACATGCTATATTCCTCATTAATACCTGAGGTACCATTAAGTACATGCTATATTCCTCACCATCACTTGAGATACCACTAGATACACGTTATATTCCTCATCCCCACCTGAGGTAACATTAGGTACATGCTATGTTCCTCATTAATACCTGAGGCACTATTAGAAAGGTTGGTTACTGAAGATTGAATTCAACTATCTCAATTAAATGTGAAGTGATACATACCTGCCAACATAGTAACAATATAAATCCTATATGGGCCCACATATTTCAGATAGACTTCTTCTGGAAATAAAAAAAACAACTTAAAATCAGCACGTTATATATGATATATTACAAAACAAATTGTATGCATGCCTTGTTACTACTTTAGAGATTTTCTAATACTAAAATAACACAAAATGCATTAGCCAATTTAGTCCTTTACAAAAATG